GAACTTGTTTCATATTTGTAAGGTCAGAGAAATGGCCTCATAATGCGGATATAGAGCAAAGAACAGTTGGCTACTTCAGCTACCCCTGATCATAGCTGGAGGAAGCTCTGCTTCCCACGTTTGGCCAAAGGCACTGCAAGCCACGTGGGGTTCAAACAAATGCACGCTGCCCAGATGCCCTTGTTGCCCAGCGATGGCAGAGCTCTCCAGCTGTTTGCTCCTTCAGGGTCTGCCTCAGCTAGAGAGACCACCTCCCGAAGCCGTGCCCTTCCAGGGACAGCGCATATCCAGGGACTGAGTGGGACAGGATAGAAAGGTGCAGGCATTTCCGCCTGCTGTAAGACTTCCTCCCTCTGTTCCACCTCCCTTCCTTTCCTTCCTGTCAGGGTGGATCTCTCATGAACATCTCACACTCAATTCCTTCTCAGCATCCCGTGGCATCTGCGACACCATATAAAGTCAGTCACTTTAAGGCAGTTCTGCTTTTTGAGAGGAATGATCTTTTACCCATCATCTTGAGATTAGAATATATGTGGAGTTAAAGTCCAGTGATTACGTCGGTATGAAATTGCCACACTAAAGTTTATCGATTAATTATATACCAGAAAGTTAATTTTTTCTCTGCACACAGAAATGCATTGCTAAAGCAAGAAGCACTTTTCCCTGTTTAAAAAACCTTTCTTGATTCCAATGTATCTGACACTCTAAAATTCCATCTCTCCTCGAGCCCTTTTCCTTATTGCATTTCAAAGAAAAAATATACTGTTTTTCTTTCTACCTTTTTGGCTACTCCTGTATTATCCGTGCATATTGCCCTTGGCGGTGGACCCCAAGATTCTATCCTTGGCCTTTGTTCTTCCACATTTCCTCACTTTTCCTAGGTGACCCCATTACATGTACCCATATCTGCTCATATGCTGGCCAGGTCCAGTTTTGGAGCTTACAGTTCACACTGTGCTCTGAGCTGTGGAGTCCTAGAGTCTCTCAAACAAGAACATTCCCAAATGGAATGTTTTATCTTCACACCCTTCTCCCAAAAACCCCAAAATGAAAATAACCAACAGTGGTAGACTGTTTATCCTCCAGTAGTCCTGTATTCACAAATAGTACCGCTACTCATCTTAGTCTGAAATTGGAGAGACAACCTAGATAAATTCTTCCTCTCACTAATTCCTCATATCCAAGCAGCTCTAAGACGTTAGATTCCCACTCCTGAACAGACTGATTAATCTCATCTCTTTCCACTGTCTCTATCTCTTCTTCCATGGGTGACTTAAAGTCTCTAGTGTCATTCTATAACCCTTCTTCTTAAACTCATCTTTTTTTTCCCCCCTCTACCATCTGATCATGCTATATTACTGTTTAAAATCTTCCCATGGCTCCCAGGTTAGCATACTAGGCCCCTAATGATGCGGACCTTGTCTATGCAGTCTCGTTGTCAGTCATTATTCAAGGTCTACCATGAGCCCTGGGCATAAAGGCATTAGGCAGAGCGATATGCCTTAGCAAGACATGGTTCCCTCTACCCTCTGTATGAATACCCTTTCTGTTCCCCTTCGTCCCTTCTTCAACAAGCTCTTTATCTTCCTTCAACACTCAGCTTCTGGGGTGCCTGGGTGGCTCAGTTGGTTAAGCGTCTGACTTTGGGTCAGGTCATGATCTCACACTCTGTGGGTCTGAGCCGCACATCGGACTGTGCTGACAACGCAGAGCCTGGAGCCTGCTTCAGATTCTGTGTCTCCCTCTCTCTCTGCCCCTCCCTCACTTGTGATCTCTCTCTCTCTCTCCCAAAAATAGACATTAGAAAGAAAGAAAGAAAGAAAGAAAGAAAGAAAGAAAGAAAACAACAATGCAGCTCCCACTGAGATCGTCTTTGAAAAAAATCTTCCCAGAATCCACTTCTCTGGCACCTGAGCACATACCTATCAAGACATTTATTGTAACGTGAAGGAACTTGTTCCCTCAAAGGGGTCAACAAAACTCCTGAGAACAGGGGTTCTACCTTACAGGACCTTATATCAGGATGTATAGCATAGTGCCTATTGCAAAGTGGGCTTCATAATGTGTTTGTGAGATGAATGGAAATGAATTTGTACAAAAATGTAATTATTTGCCAATAATATAGAATCGTAACGGTTTATTTCTAAAATGCACATACACACGTTGGCATTTTGCCATGTAGATCCTTTGCATATTTTAGAAAAGATTTTTATTGTTATATAGCACACATACACAGATTAACATTTACATTGGCTTTTATTTTAAAAATTATAACGAAATTATTTATATAATTTTATAATATAGTGTTTATTATATATACAGATTTTATACACTATAAATTACTTCCATATAATATACAAAATAATATTTCTAATATAAATTATTTTATATATTTGTTTTATATTTTAATATAAACTTCTATAGCTAGAGCATGTGCTGTCAAAATATTTGTGTCTAGATTATACAATTTTATAATTGTACCATATATTACGTAAAAATTGTATTATTTTATATTACACCTAAAATTATTTTAATATAATTTTAAAAGGAAAAACCATGTAGATGTTGCTAATGAAGACTTTTGAGGAGGTGTAGTGTTTTTCATGGAGTAGCTGACACCGGTTTCTGCCTCTTCAAACTGTCAACATATGGGTAAATAACAATCTGCTGACTTTGAAAAATTAGTTATAATCTATTTCACATAATGTATGCAAAGCACAGCAGGCAATGGCCCATAATTGAAGGATTAGTGTGGGGCCTTAGGGTGGTGTTTAAAATTCACAGACTGACAGAATGTTACACCCCATATGGACCCAGAATATTCTCATCAGGGACTTTCCGGTGCTCCCTTTCCTCCTGCAGACTACTATGTGTACTGTGTACCAGGAGAGAGAGAGAGAGAGAGAGAGAGAGAGAGAGAGAGAGAGAGAGAGGCAGACTCCACTGACCATCACAGCAGCAAGAGATCTTCCCCGGTGATAGAGCGAGCAGGAGGCTCAAAGTACCTTGGAAGAATCTGGACTGGGCCTGAAATGGATTAGATGTGTAAAGCCACTTAGGTCAGTTCTAATTTTTCTGCAACCGAAGGCACACTGCAGCTTTTCTTGTCTCAGGCCTGCACCGTGCGTCGTGCTGAAATTGCTCTGTGCACACTGCTCCTTTCAGACCTTAATGGCTTGCCAGCGTGGAAGAAGAGGCTGCCCATGTGACTGGCATCTCTGATATCTCTTCCCTGACTTTGCTGCTGTCTTTCCTCCCTCCTGTCTGCCTGGATCCGTACCATTTCCCTTCAACTTCCGCGCCTGCTTTTTATTTTCAGTTGTGGCTTTCCTCTCCCGTTCTTGGGGCCGTAGGATACTCTCTGAATCTCCCCCAGCTCTCACTGGTCTAAACCTAACCAGCACGGGCTGGCTGGCAAGTAGGAGAAAAGCAACTCTTGCACTAGTCTACGTGGTACTCTCTGCTTCCAGACAGGGGTGCAGTGTTTTTATGAACTGTCTCATTTGCATGAAATGCCTGAACAAAGCGGTGATTTGGCAAGCCTGGAGTCACACACTGGGGCTCATAGCAACTTGCGTCTACTGGCAGCATGAGGGTTAGAAACACTTCCTTGCCAAGTGGCTTTGAATCAGCTACAAGTGGGGGAAGCTGTGAGTCTGGATTCCCTGTGCTGAGGGGGGACAAGCCTTTTGATATTTGTGAAGTGTCAAATCCTTTGTTTAGAGAGCAACATATACACACATACACACAGTGGGAGGAAAAAAAGGGTTTCTTGATTACTTATTAGGCTTTGTGCTGTTATTAGTAGAATGTCTGAATTTCCAAGTAAAGCTTATTAGTCACCTCTCAGATATCTTTGCAAAATGAAGCTAAACCATGGTTTAAAAAATTAAAAATAGCACATATCTGCAGTGATTTACAGCGGAACCAGGAATGAATGTAGTGTTTTTTAAAAGGAATAATCGACTAAAATTTAAATTAATCTGTTTTCCCTAAAAACCTGGAATAATAGAAAGACATGGTATGAGTTACACTGGGTGTGTATCAGGGTGGAGGTGGGTCTACACTGGGAATGAGATTTCCTGGAGGAAATCTACAAAACGGGCCAAGCACGCATGGATTGCGTGACTTCATTTAGCTGGAGGAACACTGAGCATCATGCTGATCTCAGCTGCCATCCCCTAGGAGAAATGATCTCCCTTTTCTTGGCACAGCTATGGCACTGAAAGTCTCTTCCACCCTTTGACACTTAGCTTACACTATCCTGAAATATTACCTCTTTTAGAAATGTTTTATCTTTTCATTAGAACAGTTATCTTTTTATGCGTCTGACTTACCTAGGATGTCCATCCATTCCAGGCTGCCTGAGGCATTTCTGCTTTATGCCTGTTGCCAGACGAGAATGATTAATATTGCTCCTTTTCCCTTTCAAAAGTGTCCTGTTTTGGATGATCCCTTATGAAGGTACCCTAGTCTCATCCCAACTAAATTGAAAGCTCCTGTATCAGTCAAGGTCCTAGCAAGAAACAGCACACTCTGCTGGGATTTTGGAGAGATCTTAATGAAAGGATTATTTACCAAAGTGTGGGCAGGGCAGGACAATCAACAAAGGAAGCAGAGATCCCGCCTGAAAGGACAAAGGGAGAAAATGATGTTATGGGAGCCCAGGGGAGAAGTAGGGCCTTGAGGGGTGACTCTAGAGAGGCCAGTCCTGGAAGGACTCAAACAATCAGACTGGTCAAGGAAGGGAAGCAATTCCTACAACTCTGTCCTGCCACCACTGGTCTCCTGAGTGTGAGACCACTCAGGAAAGTGGTTCTATTGGCTGAACTCAAATGGGAGCCAGAAGGCAAAGGAGCCCTAGTGAGAAAGTTGGAAGGTGTTAGCTTCCCTTGGAGAAAGGCAGAGAAGACAGAAAATGGAGGGGGTCAGGAAGTAGGGAGTTGGTGGGGGTGGCAAACAGAGAATACAGCTCCTAAAATGGCATCTCTTTGCTTCAGGTCCGTTAAAAAATATCTGTGGATACATGTGTGTAAAATGTTGCAGAAAAGGCCATGATCACCAAGACTTGGCAACTACTTCAGAGAATATGCTGTATGAGCTGTGGGACCAAGAAATAAACATGAACTGAACTACAGGACTGCAGGTATGTAAAGGTTATATACAACAATATAAAAAAGGTGTTTAACTGAGGGTTGCTGGAGGATGTGTTGGGTGAGGGACATTAAGGAGGGCACTTGTTGGGATGAGCACTGGGTGTTATATGGAAGTGATGAATCACTAAATTCTACTCCTGAAATCAAAAAATTAAAAAAAAAAATAAAGTATTTAGCAGTATATGGGGGTTGTCAGATTAATGATATACACCCTAGATGTTTAAGTGGTTCAAAGGATAAAAGATCACAATGAGCTGGAAAAAAATGAAAAAGGACTTATCCTTTTTCACTGGAATGTTTCCAGTGGCACTGAAACAAAAGCCAACTTGACATTGGCAAAAAGGAGAGGCAAGCCTTCTTTGGGTGAGCAGTGGCATGTATAAGAGCACAAGCGTCAATGTGAAACACATCATCCCCTGGTAGGTGAGCCAGAGACCCTTCTGAGATTTAAAAAAAACTTTTTTTTTTTTTTTTTTTTTTTTACATTTTGTTGTTTTTGAGAGACAGAGAGAGACAGAGCACAAGTGGATGAGGGGCAGAGAAAGAATGAGACACAGATCTGAAGCAGGCTCCGGGCTCAGAGCTGTCAGCACAGAGCCTGACGTGGGGCTCGAACTCACAAACCGTGAGATTATGACATTATGACCTGAGCCGAAGTCGGACGCTCAACCGACTGAGCCCCACAGGTAGCCCTGACCCTTCTGAGATTTTAAAATATTCCCAAACTGTCCCAGGCAATTAGCTATGGAAGTGTCAGAAGGGAGTTAATTTGTAAGAGGCATGACTTGCAAGTGGTCATTTATTCACTCCTTCAACAAACATTTACTGAAGGCTTGGGATGTGTAAGGCATTCCTGTGGATCCACTGGTGATAAGTAAGATGTGACCCCTTCTCTTGAAGAAATGAAGTGGAAAAGGCAGCCAAGGAAGCAAGCCACTATTTTGGTGATTGTAGAGGCGAGCAGATGATATGTGAGTACATAGGAGATCATCTAAATGAGTCTCAGGCAGAGGAAGGGGCGGCTTAAGGAAGACTCCCTAGAGGCGGTAACAGAATCTGAGCTATGTGGAGTGCACAGAAGTTTAACAATTGTGTATTCATTTACTCATGTCCATCCTGCTGCATTTCTAAAGAAAGAAATAAGATGGCTAGCTTAAGAAATACACAAAACAGAGCCCAGAAATAAACTCACATTTATATGGTCAATTACTCTACAACAAAGGAGGCAGAATATGCAATGGGGAAAAACAGGGCTAGGAAATCTGCACAGCTACATGCAAAAGAATGAAACTGGACCATTTTTTTTTTTATATCACCACACATATAAATAAATAAACTCAAAATGAATTAAAGACCTAAATGTATGACTTGAAACCATAAAACTCCTAGAAGAAAGCATAGGCAGTAATCTCTTTGACACAGGCCATAGCAGCATTTTTCTACATATGTCCCCTCAGGCAAGGGAAACTAATGAAGAAATAAACTACCGGGATTACACACACCACACACACACACACACACACACACACACACACACACACACAAAACTTCTGTATAGTAACAGAAGTCATCAATAAAACAAAAAGGCAACCTACTCAATGGGAGAAGATTTGCAAATGATACGACGGTTAATATCCAAAATACACAAAGATTTTATACAACTGAACACCAAAAAACCCCAAATAATCTGATCAAAAACGGAGAGAGGCCCTGAATAAACATTTCTCCAAAGAAGATGGCCAAGAGACATATGGAAAGATGCTCAACATCAGTCATCAGGGAAATGCAAATCAAAACCATAAATGAGATATTACCTTATACTGGTCAGATTGGCTAGACTCAAAAATGATAATAAATAACAAGTGTTGGTTAGGATGTAGAGAAAAAGGAACCCTTGGGCACTGTCGGTGGAAATGTAAATTGGTGCAGCCACTATAGAAAAACGTATGGAGCTTCCTCAAAAAATTAAAAATAGAAATACCATATGATCCAGTAATTCCCCAAATACTAGGTATTTGCCCCAAGAAAATAAAAGCTCTAATTTGAAAATTTATTTGCACCCCTATGTTTATAGCAGCATTATTTACAATAGACAAGATAAGGAAGCAGCCCAAGTGTCCAATGATAGATGAATGGATAAAGAAGGTGTGCTGTGGGGCACCTGGGTAGCTCAGTCAGTTGGGTGTCCGACTTTGGCTCAGGTCATGATCTCACAGCTCGTGGGTTCAAGCCCCGTGTCGGGCTCTGTGCTGACAGCTCAGAGCCTGGAGCCTGCTTCAGAATCTGTGTTTCCCTCTCTCTCTCTACCCCTCCTCCACTCATGCTCTTTCTCTCTCTGTCTCAAAAATAAATAAACATTAAAAAAAAAAGCTTCCTACACTTGTTAAAAAAAAAAAAAAGATTCCACACATATACATACAATGGAATACTACTGAGCCATAAAAAATGAGATCTTGCCATTTGGGACAACATGAATGGATCTAGAGGGTATTTTGCTAAGTGAAATAAGTCAGACAAAGACAAATACTGTATGATTTCCCTCATATGTGGAATCTAAAAAACAAAACAAACACACAAAGAAATAATCCAAGAAACAGATTCCTAAAAACACAGAACAAACTGGTGATTGCCAGAGGGAACGTGGGTGGGAGAGATGAAATAAACAAAGGGGATTTTTTTTTTCCATTTATAAAATAGATAAGTCACTGGGCTGAAAACTACAACACAGGGAATGTAGTCAGTAATATTTTAGGGGCACCTGGGTGGCTCAGTTGGTTAAGCATCTGACTGGTTCAGGTCATATCCCATGGTTTGTGAATTTAAGCCCCGTGTCAGGTTCTCTGCTGTCAGGTTCTCTGCTGTCAGTGTTTCGGATCCTCTGTCTCCATCTCTCTCTGCCCTTTGCTCATGCTCTGTCTCTCTCTCAAAAATAAATAAACATTAAAAAAATATTGTAATAACGTATGGTGACAGGTGATGACCACATATACAGTGATGAGCACTGAGCAAAATATGGAATTGTTGAATCACTATATAGCAGACCTGCAACTAATATAACACTGTATATTGATTATACTTCAATTAAAGACAACATTGAAATAAAAAAAAAACAACTTCCTTAATTTTAGGTTTGTCTAAAACGAACCTATGACAAACAATATATTAATATACATGTATGGAAAGCTTTTCTCCAGGAAGCAGAGCCAAGCCTTAACCACTTCCATGCAACACTACAGCTGAGATATCATATGGAAAAGAAAGCAGCAAAAAGAAATAGGAGGTATGAAGATCAACTTTGAAGCAATGCAACGGTCATTATATGCGGAGAATATTATTGTATACAGAAAATCCACCATAATCCAAAAGCAATTACAATTAATAAGCCCATTAAGGCACAGTTACCCGATAGAGAATCAAGATACAAAATCAGCTTGGATACTCTGAGCAAGAACAAGGAGAAAATAAAATTGAATGACAAATGCCAGACTAGGAAACAAGTATTCACAACAGAAAATAACCAACAAAGGATTCGTTTATAGAATTACAAAAAGATTCTTCATCCTTAAAGAAGCCCGGCACACCCACTCTGCCACCTCAGGAACCCAGGGCTGAGCCACAGTGTCTCCCTTGCCCAGGCCCAGGTCAGTGGGGTCCAGTGGCTACTTGCTGTCAGGCCCACAGGCTGAGGGCAGCCGATGGCTGCTGTATGCTGTGACTGGGCTGGTGTGGGCCCAGACCCAGGCTCACTGGGCACATGGAGCTTGGCATCAGGTTGGCCCAGGTCGGCGTATAGGGGGCCAGTCAAGGGGCCCCATGGCTCATACTAGAAATTAAAAAAAAACTCTTCAGATCAATATAAGAAAACACAAAGATCCAACAGAAAAGTGAGCACAGAATATAAAGGGGAAAACGGTGAGGAGGCTGATAAGCATTCCCTGCGAAGAAATTCACCTTAGACAGGCAATTGTAAGCTCAGGTGACAGGATCTCTGCAGGGTGGTGGGAGGGAGGGATTCCAGGAGGCAAAACCACAAGGGCTGTACCACTATCCCAGGCTGTGAGAAAGATCCGGGGACCAGGAATACTGGGCAGCTCTGGAGGTCCCACCTCAGTCCCTGCCCTCACTCCCAAACCAGTACAGACAGCCCCATGCGACCGACAGCATGCCAGAGAGGACCCTGACGGGACAGAAAAACAAAAGAAAAAAAGAAACACCCAAAGGTGAATATAAAGAAAATTAGGTAGAACCTGGAGGGAACTTATCCGCCCTTCATTTATATTGTCATATTTGATTTCAGAGCAGCCTCACAAGGTTGCCGTTTTATCCTCATTCATTGATGAGGAAGCCGAGTCTTTGTGGTTAAAACACCTGGCCCAAAGCACACAGTCTTCACAGGTTGGTTTGAATCCAGAGCCTGTCATTTCCGGTACAAGAGATGTGCTTGTGGCCAGCAAGTGCTTCACAGGGTAGGAAAGAATAGTTGTGCACTTTGAAAGAATGAAGAGTGACATACCGAAAGGGACTGGAAAAGGTGTTCCAAGCAAGAGCACCCGTATTCTAAGGAAGAGGGCTGTGTGAGGGCATGGCGTGTTGGAAGGATAGCCATCAGCTCATTATAACAGGGAGTGCTAAGAGGAGCCAGGATAGGGGTGCCTGGGGGGCTCAGTCGGTTAAGTATCCAACTCTCTATTTTGGCTCAGGTTATGATCTCACAGTTTGTGCGTTCAAAGCCCACGTCAGCCTCTGCGTTGACAGCGTGGGGCCTGCTTGGGATTCTCTCTCTCTCTCTCTCTCTCTCTCTCTCTGTCCCTCCCCCATGCTCTGTCTCCTCTCTCTCTCTTTCTCAAAAATAAATAAATAAATAAATACATAAATACATAAAGAAATAATAAATAACTTTAAAAAAAGAAAAAGAGGAGCCATGAGATATGAGTCTGGAGAGGTAAGTGAGGGCCAGATCTGAAGGGCTTTCTATATCCCTTCACCTGAAGGAGGTGGAAGCTATGGAGAGAGTAAGCAGGCAGTGACATGACTAGATGAGAATCTGAAAAAGCACAGCAATGTGGAAAGTCTGGGTCAGGACAAGAATGGAGGCAGGGAGACTTGCTTACAGGGCAGGTGGGTGGGTGGTAGGAATGGGAAAGGAAAGGATTAGAATTGGGAGCAATTATGGAGAAAGCATCGAACAAAACGGCTTACCAAGATTTGGGAGGAAAAGAGATAAATTCTTACTTGAGCAGCTAGGGGTGATGGCACTCATGAGAAAGGGATCCTTCTCACTCATGAGAAGAGCTAGTTTGGAGTCTGAGGGGTGATGAGTTCAGATAATGATTGCCAAGGGCAGCTAATAAAGAAACTGAGCTTACCTCTTATGCTTTCCTGTTCTGTCTAGTTGATTACTTCAGTGTAGCCTTATGAAAAATATGGTGGCCTCAGAGAAAATATTCCTTATCAATAAAAGTTAAAAGTATTTACATATTTTGATAGGGCTTACCACTTTTACTGCAAAGTTAATATAGATGCAGAAGATTTAGAAAATACAGACAAGCAAAAAAAATTGTTACCCAAATACAATCTTAAAATGACTTGTAATACTTTGCTGTATGTACCTACAGCTTTTCCCCCTAGTATGTATGTGTATATATGTACACATATATGTAAGACCATATTTTCCAAGAAGCTTGAGTAATATTCTCATGACCATATCTTGCACATTTTTCAATAATATTAATAATTCTATAAGATCATTTTGGAGACTGCATGGCATTACATTTATGAATGTGCTGTATTTTATTGAACTGTGTTCCTGCTGTGGACATTTGGGCTATGTCTAATTTTTTATTACTATAAATGTAGCATTAAAGTAGTTTGAATTTAAATTTACTAATTAACCTTTGGTTTTTTCATAGCCCAATTTAGATCATGAAATCAAGTTTGGGCACGCTGTGTTTTTATAAAATGGTTGTACAAAGAACAGTTGTTTTAAAAGTGCTCTGAAAGAATGGCTAAAATCAAAAACACAGGAGACAAGTGTTGGCAAGGATGTGAAGAAAAACGACCCTCACGCACTGATGGTGAGAATACAAACTGATGCAGCCACTGTGGAGAACAGTATGGAGGTTCCTCAAAAATCTAAAACTAGAACTACCTTATGATCCAGCAATTGCACTAAAAGGTATTTACCCAAAAGATATAAAAACACTAATTCTAAAGGATACATGCACTCCTGTGTTTGTTGTAGCATTATTTACAATAACCAAATTATGGAAGCATCCCCAAGTGTCCATGGACACATGAATGGATAAAGAGGATGTGCTATATATATATATATATATATATATATATACACACACACACACACACACAATGGAATGTTATCCAGCCATAAAACACATAAAATCTTGCCATTTGCAACAACATGGATAGATCTAGAAACTATAATGCAAAGTGAAGTGTCAGAGAAATACAATGATTTCACTCATATATGGAATTTAAGAAAAAACAATGGAGGAGAGAGAGAGAGAGAGAGAGAGAGAGAGATCAAGAAACAGATTCTTAACTACAGACTACAAACTAATGGTTCCCAGAGGGGAGGTGGGTGGGGTGATGGGGTAAATAGGTGATGAGGATTAAAGAGCACACTTATCATGATGAGCACTGACAATGCATAGAATTTTTGAATCACTATATTATACACTTGAAAGTAATAGAACACTGTATGTTAACTGTACTAGAATTAAAATAAAAAAATTTTTAAAAAGTACTCTGAAAGAAATACATACTGTTCTCTAATTCTCAGGTATGAAAACAAATGGACATAAATGCATATTGGAGAAAAATTAATTATACAGAAAATTGGTATGGTTATTAGAAAGGAAGTAGGATGAAAACTATTTTTGAGTTGAGTCACCCTCTATTTTGGGGGAGGACAGAGATCACATTTCCTAATGGGATTACTTTGATTTAATGACTTTATCAATGTCTCCCCAAGGAGCATAAAAATGTGATCGACTCTCCAAAATGATCTAGGAATTGATCATCAGCCTTGTGAATAATCACAACCTAATTAAGTCCAACTTCCTTTTGATTGTATACAATGAATCCGGTACATACATTTAAAAAATGTTTTGCTCAACTTAGAAGTAACGCTTGGGGCTAGAATACATATTTTAGACTCCCTTTTTTTGACTGACCATTGTCTCTTCCTCAGAACTCTTAACAAATATACTCTCTGTTAGGTGCCCCTGTCAGAACTCCAGTACTCAAATAGCTGAAATTCTTCTTCCCTAGCGAAGATGCTATAGAGTATTGGGAAGAGATATTTCTGGCTTGTCTGGACAAGGCTAGATTCTTGATACTAGCACATAAGGGATATAGCAGGCCAGGGATAAAGGCGTGGTCTCTGTCCAGACAATAGAATGCATGGATTCCCCCAAAGTGTTTGGAAAATCACCCAGAGTTGTGAACTCCAAAAAATCTTGGCTGGAGGTAGATACATCTCAAGAGTCCCAACCCCTTTCCTGTTGCAAATATTTTCTATTCTAAAATAAAACAAATAGATAACATAACCTAATCCCATACATAATTTTAAAAGATGGTGATGTTAATGTAACATAAAGGTGAACTTAAGAAAGTTATTTATAATAAAGAAATAAGCATTTTAGCCAGATTCTTGCACGTACACATGGAATAATCATAACTGTGAGAACTAGAAATGCAGACTGACACTGGAATGTGTTAATGACTCAAATACCACATGTGGCATCACCATTGGTGATGTGATTTTCCAAAATGGTACGAAGTGCTGGGTGAAGTTATTAAGTGACACACACCCTATCTTCCCTGCATTTATATAGTAATGGCATTCCTAGAAAATATGGTGCATTTAAAGCTATTAAAAAAGACTGTGTTTTATGTATAAAAAATAAAATTAGTCTGATGTCATTGTACACATGGTTCTCAGACATAGGAGTGACATTCAAAGCTTGTCTCTGATAGGAGAAAGCTCTTGGTTTGCCTGACTGACGCACGTATCATTGGATTTCTCTAATCCCAAAGTCCTGGCCAGTTGTGCAAACCAAAACATCCACAAAATTCCAAAATGTTCTCTTAGGGCAGTATATTTCCTGTTGCTCCCCCAACCATTGCTTTAACATATTCTGACTCTTTTTGACCTAGAAGGATTTGCCTCTGGGGTGGAGAGAACAAGGTAAACCTGAATTACATCATGATGTTTTCAAATTGTGGTAAAATATACATATAATAAAATCTATAATTTTAACCAAATCTGAGCATACAGTTCAGTGATATTAAATACATTCACATTGCTGTGCAGCCATTACTAGCGATCATCTCCATAACATTTTGATCTTTTCCTCCCAATACTTTTTTAAAAGAAATCATGTAGTATGTTTTATTTCTGGTTTTCTTAGGTCTTTCCAATGGCATCTACCTTGGGCATCAGTCTGTCTCTTGACTCTGATCTGGCCAGATTTGTGACTCAGCTTTCTGTCAGCTTGGCCAAGTGTTGACCTCTGCTTATGCTGACCACCCTTCTACCCCCTGTCACGTGGTATCTACCCATCTTCCCTTTCCCACAGGCCTTCACCCTCCGGAGCTCGGCAGCTGTGATAAAGGCTGAGTAACCCTGTAACTCCTCATAAATCTGTATTGCAGAATATTCACCTCTCCCTTGGTACATCATTTTACATTGGTTTAGTAATTTTAGTCCTCATATTCAGCCTTCCATTCCTGCTTTATTTGTCTACACCTGCCTCTCTGCAATCTTATGCTATTAGGCTTCATAGTTGTTAGAAGAGGCAACTGGGAGGGGTGTAAAAGGCATAAGACTTAGAATCAAAGATATGAGTATAATTTCAGTTCTGCCCTATACTAGCTAGTTGACCAAGTATGAGAGCCCTCACCACTCTGAGGCTTGATTTCCTCATCTGAAAACCAGAGGGCTGGTCACTAGATAAACTCCAGCTTTAAAAACATAAGCTTATAGGGGTGCCTGGATGGCTCAGTCGGTTGAGCATCGGACTTCGGCTCAGGTCATGATCTCGCGGTTCGTGAGTTGGAGCCCCACATTGGGCTCTGCGCTGACAGCTCAGAGGCTGCAGCCCGCTTTGGATTCTGTCTCCCTCTCTCTCTGCCCCTCCCCTGCTCACGCTCTGTCTCTCCCTGTCTCAAAAATAAATAAACATTAAAAAAAATAAATACATAAGCTTATAAAATAATTTCTTATAGGGGCGCCTGGGTGGCGCAGTCGGTTAAGCGTCCGACTTCAGCCAGGTCACGATCTCGCGGTCCGTGAGTTCGAGCCCCGCGTCGGGCTCTGGGCTGATGGCTCAGAGCCTGGAGCCTGTTTCCGATTCTGTGTCTCCCTCTCTCTCTGCCCCTCCCCCGTTCATGCTCTGTCTCTCTCTGTCCCAAAAATAAATAAACCTTGAAAAAAAATAAAAAAAAATAATAATTTCTTATAAAAGATAGTATCTACCTACTTCATAGGACATTCATGTCAGATGTAAGTGAAATCATAAAGGTATAAATTACTAAGTAGCTCTAACTGTAATAAAAGATGCTTCATACGTGCCTTTTTAATGATAAAATAGACAATGAAACATACAATTAATCGGGATTCTAAAAACATAAGGTTGGATAACACCACCTACAAACTCAGGCATGATTTGCTTTATTTAGTAGGGATCTGGTTCTCAGTAAATATTTGTGAAAAGAATGTGCTCCAGAAAAGGCATACAAAAATCTCAATTTTCAGGTATTTAGGAGACCATTAATTCAGATATTTAGCAGGAAGCTAAGCTTGGAAACCCACAAGGAAGGCCTGGAGGGTCAGCACACATATGACGTTGATTGGTGCCTGGTGGTGGGAGAGCACAGCTTATCTCGATTGTCCTTGAAGATATTATCCTAAAGTCGGCCCAAGAGTGATATTTTTCTATGAAAGGAGAGGCTACCCCCCAAAGCAGCTGTGATAGGAGAGCTGAAGTGTAATATATTACTGGATGTCCTGTTCCCATTTACAGAGCCCTTCAAGTGTTTGAGGCTGCTTGACTAACTTGTGGCTGTGCTGAGCAACATCAGAGCTGGAGGCAAAAGGAATATACGCCATATACTGTGTGTAACTGTATACATTGTTTTATGCATTTTAAAAACTGGTTAATGCCTTTAATGAAAATATCACCAATGAGTTGGCTTCCATTAAAGCCAGGAAAGGAAAATTATCATCAATTCTATTTTTGGTATAAATAAAATATAAACTTAAAATACTGAAAATTTTTAATATGTCTACTTTTCAACTTTTCAATATTTCTTAACTAATGTTCTGAAAAAAACTTGTAGGTGTACAAGGTGTACTTACATAGTTCTTACTGTAATTTAACATTAAAACATACACAAAAACATGCATTCTGGGGGGCACATTTTTCCTTTTGCTCTGGGCTCCAAAACGGCTTGGCATAGCACTGTCAGCTCTTGTTTTTATTGAAAATTTTGTTATTCTGTTCAACATAGATGTTTTATATTAATTTAGATTCTTCAAAATATTGTGTTACTCAGTGTGGAGTTTCCTCAAAAAATTAAAAATAGATCTACCCTCTGACCCAGCAATAGCACTGCTAGGCATTTACGCAAGGGATACAGGAGTGCTGATGCAGAGGGGCACTTGTACTCCAATGTTTACAGCACCACTTTCAACACTAGCCAAATTATGGAAAGAGCCTAAATGTCCATCAACTGATGAATGGATAAAGAAGTTGTGGTTTATATATACAATGAATACTACTTGGCAATGAGAAAGAATGAAATCCTGCCATTTGCAGCAACGTGGGTAGAACCGGAAGGTATTATGCTGAGTGAAATAAGTTAGAGAAAGACAGATATCATATGGTTTCACTCATATGGGGATCTTGAGAAACTTAACACAAGACCATGGGGGGAAGGGATGGGGGAAAAACATAGTTAACAGAGAGGGAGGGAGGTGAACTCTAAGAGACTCTTAAGTACAGAGACCAAACTGAGGGTTGATGGGGGGTGGGGGAGAGGGGAACATGAGTGATGGGCATTGAGGAGGGCAATTGTTGGGATGAGCACTTGGTGTTGTATGGAAGCCAATTTGACAATAAATTATATTTTAAAAAATAAAAGAAATAAAAAATTAAAAAAAATATTGTGTTATAATATTATTTATCTTCATTACTGATTTTTTGTGTTCCCTTAAATTTTGGGCCTGAGGTGAGTTCTTCAGTTGTTTCCCCCCCCAGTCCTGGCCTTGGTCCCAACCCTCAATCCCACATATCCCACTATATAGTAGATATAATACAACAACTATGGGAGAGATAGGTGTGCTCACTATGCTGAAGAAGACATTTAAAACCACAATTCCCTGCCCCCTCCCACCCCCATCCAAGTTAGTCAGCGAAGCAACATGTCATAGATGGGGGAAAACATGAGCTTTAAGGGTTAGACAGATTTGGAATCGAATCCTGGCTTGCTTCCTTTACAGTGCAATTACTTAAACCAGTGTGAGCCGGTTTTCTAATCTTTAAAAGGAACAATTTTTTTAGCGAGAGTTAAATGAAATAACTTACATGAAGCATCTAGACTTGACAAATGTGAACTTGTCCCCTTCTCCATCTCAAGGATAGTTAATTGACTCACCCCTTTTGAGTTACCCAAAGACATGCTCCCCAAAACGCCAGCGTCTGGATTTGCACCCAGGTGTGGTGAGTGAAACTCCTGCGGTGTCCTCACCAAATCATGTTCATTAATTCTAGAAGCTGCAAGCCTGCCTCTTTCTAGGGATGCATTTCCTATTTAAACGGCCCAGGAGAATTTGGATTAGTAGCTCAGAAACAAAGGTGGGGATGATGAGTCTTCAGCCTCATGGAAACAACAAATAGCAACACATATATGAGTTACATCTCCTCTTTCTAATTCTACAAATGCTTTTCAGCAAGATATAGGATTCCCAAAAGATTGAAGGGAGGCAAGGAATTTGAACAGTTTTTCTTTCCTTTAAAAAAAAATTTTTTTGGGGGGCGCCTGGGTGGCGCAGTCGGTTAAGCGTCCGACTTCAGCCAGGTCACGATCTCGCGGTCCGTGAGTTCGAGCCCCGCGTCAGGCTCTGGGCTGATGGCTCGGAGCCTGGAGCCTGTTTCCGATTCTATGTCTCCCTCTCTCTCTGCCCCTCCCCCGTTCATGCTCTGTCTCTCTCTGTCCCAAAAATAAATAAATAAACGTTGAAAAATAAATAAATAAATAAATAAAAAATTTTTTTGATGTTTTATTTATTTTTGACAGAGAGAGAGAGAGAGAGAGAGAAAGAGCATGAGCGGGGGAGGGACAGAGAGAAGGAGACACAGAATCTGAAGCAAGCAAGCTCCAGGCTCCAAGTTGTCAGTACAGAGGCCGACACGGGGCTTGAACCCACAAACCATGAGATCATGACCTGAGCCGAAGTCGGACACTTAACCAGCTGAGCCACCCACGTGCCCCTGAACAGTTTTTCAATATATGAGACAGTTTGAAAATAGGAATTGGATATGTTTATTAATTGGATGCATTTGGGTACATTCTTTCTGATGATTTAGATTTTATTTCATTTTGAAGGCTACTTGGGTAGAAAAAATAGACATTTTCTCAGTGATGGTGGAGAGCCTGTACATCTCTCTGAGAGGTGATTAGGTGTGTTTACTATAAAGCTTTGCATGAATCTATTTGGGACATATTTATAATTAAAAATACTTTATAATAAGTAATCTACATGTCCAACAATAAAAGAATGGTTATAGGAATTATGGCATACCATAGACTAATATGCTATCATTAAAAATGGTGTTTTCAATGATTTTGGGAAACAGGCTCATAATAAATTGTAAAATAAAAAAAAACCTAGGATAGAAAACTGTAAAGTATGAATATCACTTCATAAAAATAAAAAAGGGGTGTCTGAGTGGCTCAGCCGGTTAAGCATCTGACTTTGGCTCAGGTCATGATCTTGCAGTTTGTTAGTTCGGTCCCGCATCTGGCTCTGTGCAGACAGCTCAGAGTCTGGAGCCTGCTTGGGATTCTGTGTCTCCTCCTCTCTCTGCCCCTCCCATGCTCATGCTCTGTCTCTCTCTGTCTCTCAATAATAAATAAAAGTTAAAAAAAATAAAAAAAATATATTCACACATGCAGCAAAAACTAAAATATCAAAATATTAGTGATTAATGATGGAATTATAGGTAATGTTTAATTTTTAAAAATTCTTTCTTTAATGTTTATTTTTTTATTTTTGAGAGAGAGAGAGAGCAAGAGAGAGAGAGAGAGAGAGAATGGGAGAAGGGCAGAGAGAGAGGGAGCCAGAGAATCCTAAGCAGGCTCCATGCTGTCAGCACAAAGCCCGACATGGGACTTGAACTCACAAACTGTGAGATCATGACCTGAGTGGAAATCAAGAGTCAGATGCTCAACCCCCTGAGTCACCCTGGTGCCCCTAATTTTTAAAAATTCTTAAACAGATTTTCTATTGATAAAAAAAAAATTTAAACATGATTTTTATGGCAGCCTTTAAGTGACATCCAAAGTAGACCAGCCCAGTTTTGCCACCATATGCAGAGAGCCGGTGAGAGAGTAGGAGCTGGTTTGCAGAGAATAGGAGTTGCAGAGTCACAGAAAGGGCTAGCAGCCTTTGAGTCTCGGTTTTGGGTCCTTCCTCAGACTTAGTAACATGGCTATCCTTTTTGTGGGTTCGTGATTCAATCCTTTCTTGGATTCCATGAACTAATCGCCTGTTTTTGTTTTCCTAATTGAGTTAGATTTCTGGCACTAATGAGAGAGTAACTAATGAAGAATCTTGCATGCCTAAATAGCCCAGGAACGTGACGACTTTTAAGAGAGATATTATCCGACTTCTTCGGGTGTTTTCTGCCTGAAAGTCAAGGTTTTCCATTTCTAACACTATGAAATAATGATGTACTGAATTCCCTCACATTGAATAGGAAAAAATTTACTTGCAGAAAATATGACTGTATTTGTATGAGTGCAGGCAGATCTCATACATCTGAACTTTTTACTTATTTGCTGTTTGTTTCATTTATGTTATCTTCTAACTTTCAATCATAGCTGCCAAAACCTAAAAAAAAAATAAAAATAAAACTATGGAAGAAATAGATTTTTCTTTGGTGATCACACCCTCACCAGGTGTCAGGCATTGAGCTAGGTTCTAGGTCATAAGTGTGAAGAAGTCTAAATCCCATTCTTCAAGGAATTTGTAATCTAGTGGGAGAAGAAAGAAATTAACAGGCAACTGGAATATAGTGGCTTAAGTATTCTGCCATGTAAAACTGTGGGTCACTTAAGCAGTGTAGACGGAAAAGAGGTTTCCCCAGAAGAGGTGACATATAAACTGAGACCTGAAGATACACAGATCTAGCCAGCTATACAGATGTGTGCCTAGGGAGTGGAGGGGGCAGGCCTTCTAGACTGAGGCAAAAACATGTCAGAAAGCCCTAGAAAGAAGAGAGACTGGAATTTCATATAGCCCAGAATGTCTAGATTACAGATTACAAGGATCACATTAGAGTAATAAATAGGGGCTAGTTCAAGAAGTGCCTTTTATGCCACAGAGAAGCATTTGGCTTTAAACTAAGGGCAATGAGGAAGAGGTTTTGAGCAGGAGGGTAAGAAAAATCAGATTTGAGATTTTAAAAACGCTTAGAAGTCCACTTCTAAGACTTCTAAGAAGCCTGGGATGTAATGCAGGTTTAAAGTGATGGTGGCCTCCTTGCCCAAGATGGTGGCCATAGAGATGGAGAGGAATGGATGAGGTCAAGAGAAATTGAGGGTGAAATTGTGAGACCTGGGTCATGAATTGGAGGTGAGGAAGAGAGAGTCAAAGATGGTATTCAGGGGTCTGGTTTAGGTGCTTTGCTGGATGGAGGTGCTGCTCACTGATGGATGATGGGGTCCTTGCTGAGTGAAAGAGGCCTGTAGAACAACAGGGCAAATGTCCATCAGGAGGCTGGATATCTGGAAGTGGTGCTCCGTGGGAAGATATGGTGGTTGGAGAGTTGGCTGAATATAGTTAATAATTGAAACTGCGGGTAAGATTACTCAGGTGGAATGGATATTACCAAAGGAGAATATGTTGTGTAAGAAAGTCACAGGGTTCCTGGTGGCTCAGTCCAGTAGGCGTCCAACTCTTGATTTTGGCTCAGGTCATGATCTCAAAGTTTGTGGGATCGACCCCTGTGTGGGGCTTTGCGCTGACAGTGCGGAGCCTGCTTGGGATTCTCTCTCTCCCTCTCTCTCTGCCCCTCCCTCTCTCTCTCTCAAAA